TTCATTTGTACCTTCTGAGACTATTATGAGTTATCACCTTTCCCTCGTTCATCTTGTCTTTGCCTCGAGTCAGTCAGTCTTGATTATCTCTTCTGACATTGCTTGATGATTATGTTCCTTGCTAATCATGTCACAGTTTTCAACCTTTAAATTTGCAAAATCAGGACATACATGACATATTCAATTTAATTTTAATTTTATCATTYMMATCATCATTGCTGTTCCGAATCATAGTAAAAAATTTCTAAGACCAGGGTTCGACGAAGATCGTAATTGAAGGGTCTCGCTCGAAGCCAGGTGCACACAACAGGAAGGGATTTGTCTTATTTAATTTATTTTACTTATTGCAAAAAACACACAAAATCCTGTGTGACAGCCTGTTCGCTTTTCGGTCGCCAGAAATGGCCCGACTGAAAAAAAGTGTGAAAGTGGGCTTTGGGCGGCAGTTCCCTGTACTTCCGTGTAGAAGTGGAGGAGCAAGCGGCGTCGATATCGGCAGCCCGTGAAAGCAAAATATTTGTGAAGATACGTCCTTTCCGTCCACTATGGTGCAACTCGAATGAAGTCACGCCAATCGTCGGGTGCACTGAAGTGTTGTAGGCGAACTCGATGTCGGGAAGACGGTCAACCCAGTCCTTCTGATCCGGGCGGATGAGTGTGCGGAGCATCATCTGCGCAGTCTGGTGCGCACTTTCCGTTTGCCCATCCATTTGAGGATGCCGTGCGGAACTCAGTTTCACGCTGGTGCCGAATTCCACCATGATTGTCGTCCAAAAGGCCGACATGAAACGAGTGTCGAGGTCGCTGACGATCTCTTCCGAAACGTCGTGGCTGCAAAACCAGCCGGTATGCAAAAGTCGTGCGAGCTCAGGAGCCGTCGCATGATACTTGCATGGAAGAAATCGAGCGTACTTGCTCAAACGGTCAACGACCGTGTAAATACCGTCATGGCCAAGGCGATCACGAGGGAAAGGGCCGGTCACATCCATAGCAATGGAGAGACCCGGTTCCCGAGGAATCGACAATGGTTTCAGTCCGTCGTACGGGAGATGATGGCATCCTTTGTTCCAGTGACAAACTGCACATGACTGAATGTACCGGTTGACGTCGTTGATGATGTCCGACCAGTGAAATCGTTGGCGGAGTCGTGCCAGTGTGCGTGCGACGCCAAGGTGTCCCGCTAGACGCGAATCGTGGTATTCGCCAAGGAGGTGAGTGCGCAAGATGAGGTCTTGGGGAACACACAACAAGTCCTTGCCTCGTGTATGAAGAAGCAAGTAGCCGTTGACAATGTGATAGTTGCTTGCCGGCGGGTGGTCCGATGATAAGTCCGCATAGAGCGTGAAGAATCTCGGATCCGACTTGTAGCCGTTTATGAAATGTTGTTGAAGGTTCTCGTCGAGGCCGAATGTGGGGGTCACCAAGGTGCAAAGATCAGGTCTTCGCGAGAGAGCATCCGCTGCCTTGTTCTAGGAGCCCAGAATGTACTTGGAGGTGAAATCGAACTGGTCAATGAAGTACATTTATCGACCGATCGTGCTGCTCACCTTGCCTTGCGTCTTGTAATACGTCAACGGATTGTTGTCCGTTGCCCACGTGAATCGCCGACGCCTGAGAAGAAAGTGACGCCAACGCTTAAGTACGGCGACAAAAGCTAGCAGTTCCTTCTTCCTTGCATCATCAAGAGTGTTGATGGGTGGCACCTTTTGGCTGAAGTACTCAACCGGATGCCAGTATGTGCCGTCATGCTGTTCCAAAACCGCGCCAATGTCGTAACTTGAAGTCTCCATAGTCACTTTGGTAGGCAAGGTCGGGTCATAGATGCTTAAGATAGGAGGTTGAAGCAAAGTCGTTTTCAGCTATGTGTCCGAAAAGGGATTCAACGGGGGTTTCCCGTTGAACGAACCAACGGTCGTTGAAACCTCGATTTAACGCCGCGTTTACCCTCGTTACAACGTGGAACAACGCGGCCCGCAAATGTTTTTTTTCATGAGCAAAAGAAAGGCAAAAAATAAAAATAAAAATACGAGGGTGTTGATATTTTTGCGCTCTACATCCCCATATTTTTTATTTTATTTTTTGAGCATTCAAATTATTTTAAAAAAATCAAAAATCTTACCCGACTGAAAACACATTTATGTTTTTTGTCTTTTTTTATTGATTGATTGATTGATTGATTGATTGATTGATTGATTGATTGATTGACTGATTGATTGGTGGGGGATGGGTTGCCCGCCCCCACCCCCACCCAATCACTCTCTCTCTCTCTCTCTCTCACACACACACACACACACACACACACACACACACACACACACACCACCACCACGCCGAAGTTGCGCGGGGTTTGAAAGCGGGTACCGTATTGTTTTTTTTAATTTTTTTTTTCTTTTTTGATTGATTGATTGATTGATTGATTG